CCAAACAGCAAAGCATGCCTGTGAAGATAGTGGCCACTGTGGACGAGTACTTCTTTAGAATCGTATCTGAAAATATTGAATAACATCTTCAATGAAGAGCGGCGAGAAAAATGAAATTTAACAAAAAAGTGATGGTTAATGAAAGCAGAAGCTGAATAAAAGAATCTCGCTCTCATTCCCAGTAGCAATCTCCATATTACAGCAACGTGTCCATACACAAATTGGCATGACACGCCTACACCTGAAGTTGCAATTGCAGAAAACTAACAAGCATATTTCAAGAAAAAAGAGGACAGAATTCCTTGTGCTGCATTGTTAGCTATCAGAAACATTGTAGCTCTTGAATGACCATGAAGAATATCAAAGCTACTTGGACCTGAAACATTCATACAACGCGAGGTTAGACTCGAAACACCCATTTATAATGATAAATTTCCCAAGTTTCCACCATAAAATACTATAGTGCAAAAGCGCCATGAAGAAGTTTATCTGTGAAATGGCCCTCTTATACCATTCAACTATATTAAACAATAATTGTATTCCAAAACTATATTGATCGGGAAAATACAACTAACAATATGACTTCGTTGAATGAGTACAAATGCTACTAGAGTCAATAAATTTGAATCTGACCATTGAATATTGCTTTCAGTTAGTTCTCAGTAGTTGGAGGTAACAGTGATAGCATTTTTTGTTCTTTGTGAGGAATGGAACGTATAGTGAACTGGAGTCTACAAATTATCTTAATGTTCTCTAATTAGGGTTTAAATGCATACTGTCCCCTTGGAAGGAAATTTGTCGAATAAAAACCCCCAAAGTGGTGGCGTTTGTTGAGAAGACTAAGTGGATAATTTTATTCAGAGATGTAAATAGATGATATACGTGTAAGGAAACATACAAAAGCGAAGTTCATTTTTATCTCAGAAAAGCCCTTTAGATTGGAAAAGGTGAGGAGTTGTCTTCTGTGTTTGGGGTTAATTGTTTCTTCCAGGTGCCAAGATCAGTTACTGCTTTGATCTCAGGATGACACAGCAGACTTTTGAAAGCATCTAATAAAGAGATTTCAGGAATAGATCCTTTAGTTTTTCCTTTAGAACTTGTGGTTAAATAGAAAATTAAAACAAACAGCTACCAAAGCCAGTGGACCATCTTAAATAGCTGAAGGATTATGTTTAAAGGTGGCATTCTGAGCTATGAAACTCCTTTTCATTGCTTTTCGATTTTATACTTGCTTTATGCTCTCAAATTGTTGCGTACTACTTCTGTACACGGGACTTTCTTTCATACCATTTTTATTCATCAAAATAAGTAAACAAACTGATTTCTCTGCAAGAACAATTAAACATAGTGTAGTTCATACCTTTGACAATGGCCATTACCAATATTCCTAGAAAGTTTAATATAGCACCATATCCATATAAAAATAAGTTCTGCACAGCCAAAAGAAGACATAAAATGAAGAAGATAAATTGATGACTTATATTTCTCAGTTTTCAATAGCTGTCCAAACATGAATTTAACAAAGTATAAGCAATGGGAAACTTGAGATAAAAGCTGCTAAGATATGTTTATGAAGCTCTAGGTTCACACTGAGGCATTTGATCTTAGATAAGGTCATGCATCCAAACCAAAACGAGTGGAAAAGGGTATGTCCTTCCACCTTATCGCCGACATCTCGGCGATAGTGTCCAGCTTGTCAAAAAGCTTCAACATCAGTGAAATACCAGAACTTCGAGGCAAGAGACCTTATTTTCCTTATAGACTCCCAAAAACCCATAGAAATTTTGCCAATATTCCAACTTTCTTGGTATAACCTAAGCTTCCAAGAGATTATATGGCATACTCATCATTTGCAAATTCCAGCCCAAGCCCGACCATATGCATAAACCACCTATTAAATTTAGAGAAACAGTATAGATAGCTCCACCCAAAATAAAATCATAAAACAGTAACAAGATCCAAATTGGTACTAGATCACTGACTGCAAGAACAGAAGCAAATGGCCATTTCCTACCTTTAGAAAACCAATTCCTCAACATCCTTTAATAATAGGTTCATTGTACTAGGTAAATTGTTTTACTAGGTACATTATTAGAGAAAAAATAGGTACATTGTACTAGGTAAATTATTTTACTAGGTACATTATTAGAGAAAAAAAAATAGGTACATTATTTGGAGAGAAAAAATAGGTTCATTTAAAAAAAAAATTGTTTTCATAAAACAAACAATAAAAAGATGATCAAATTATTTTTCATAAAGCAAGTAATAGGTGCTTTATTTAGAGAAAAAAAATAGGTACATTATTTAGAGAAAAAATATGTTCATTTTAAAAAAAACAATAAATAGATTATCAAATTATTTTTCAGCATAATTAAAATGTACACTATTATTCATAAAACTATAATAAAATAGATTACTAGTTGTATAATTCATAAAAGGAAAACAACATTAATTCCTAAATTTAATATTGAATTTAAATTACTAATACATTAAATAGATTATTAGTCATAATTCATTAAAGGAAAACAACATTAATTCAAAAATAAATTACTAGTCGTAAAACATATTACTAATAAGTGAATGTTGAATTTAATATTTAATTTCAAATAAGTTTCTAAATTAATTCCGACATCCATTACAACCATTTAGAGATCTTTCTAAATTCAACGTGTGTCATTAGTTACACCCCCCTCCCCCTCCCCCTCCAATAACACATTAAGTCATAAATAGGGATAGTTTTGGAATCTAAAAAATACAATAAATTAGATTTTAAGTTATATTAGAAAACTTGCTTAGTTGAATCCTAGTCATCGGGTATTATTTGAAAAAAATTGGGTATTTTAAATAGAAAACTAAAGGAAAGGGTTATAGGTGATTTAAATTGAATTTTATGGGTTTAAGCTCAATTTACTGTTTAAGCTCAATTGATATATCTATGTTTATTTTTATATATGTGTTAAATGGATTAATAATTGGATTGTGTTGCCTTCGGAAATATGGTTGCCTTTGGAAATATGGTAACCAATTTAATAATCTGTTTAACCATGTCACATGTGTGGTAAATAACATCTTAACCCATTTAATAACATGTGTACAAACCAAATTAAATTATTTAAGTACATATCCAACTAGTTTAACATCAGTCACAAATTATTTAAGTACATATCCAACTAATTCAAAGGTGTTCAATTGTGGCTGCCTTTTGCTGCCAACCCATGTGGGTTTTCTTTTGGTTGCTGGAAAAAAACGATTCTTCTGAACCAGGCTTGGTGTAGGAAGGCTTGAGGTTTCAATATGTATCCAATGGGGCTCAAATTTGGATATGTCATAATAGACACCCATTGGAACAACTTGTATAAAGAATGTATTCCCATATGAGCAGTACAAGTGTATGTTTTGGACCTTGCAAGTTGACTGCCGAAAATAGACTGAAATTTACTTTATTTCTTTTCTTTCCTTTCTTTTTGCTTCACATGCATGCACATTCTTTCTCTTTAATAGCTCCAGCATGTACCAACTAATCCCACTAGCAGCCTGGAAAGTGCTTCTTGATTTATCCAAACATGTTTCCCACAATGCCTTGTTTTTGCTCCTTTAGACTTTCATAGCTGGAATGCCTATGTCATGCATGACAATGCATTGCAGTCAGCTTGTGGGCTTGTTTTGGGCTTGATCTTCCCTCCTACAAAATCTGGAAAAATCTGGATCTTCAAACCCTTTGAATTATCTTTCCAAGCATATGCAGCCCAACTCAAGAAAGAATCAAAAAGACCTTCAAATGTAATTTTTGGCCCAGTAACGCAGATGCTGCCGAATTTGACCTTAAACTGCCAAAACTTGCATAACTTCCTCTAGGAGACTCGGAATCATGAACCGTAAAATGATCCAGAAACTAGACTTCTACATCTTTCCAATGATATAGGGCTCAGTATCTGGTTCATCCTGCGCAAGTACAGTCCAATTCGTGAAGTTGACTGATCTGCAGACGCCGTTTTGAGCTAACTTGTCTCCAAAATGCATTTAATGAGTCTCAAGCTTATTACACTGAAACAAACACAAAATTTATTAAAAGCACAAGTTTAACTCAAAAACATAATCAAATGATATATAAATATGCCCCGATCATGTGGGCCCAAAAGCCATAAGACCTTGGCTCGAGCTTCTTCAATATTGATTGTAGTTGACGCTTTTTGAGGTTTTACAGATCGTTCAATATACCCATTTCGGCTTCAATTCGGCTAGGTAGTCTGATTCTGTTGGTATAGGTATTGTAGGGTGTTTCAAGAACACTCCCCACGTCGTCCTAAGCACGGCGGTATACTCGGATTTGGAATTGGTTACCGTTTGACTATTGAATGGATATTGGGCCTATTATGCGATGTTTGGGTTCGATAGGTTCGGACAATTTGATTGGTTCCAATGTCAAATATGGTGTTCTCGGTACCTCTAGAATCGTGTAGCAACTTGTGGATCGAAAATCGAAGTCCCGGATACTCCGAGTCAATGATTCTAAGTTTATGCGAAACGATCGTTGTCCGATCGTGCCATTGGCGTAGATCCAACCGCTCGATTGAGATCAAACTTTCGAGACTTGTTTAATAGACTTTGTTAGACCTATAAGAACTTTTGTATCGGAAATCAGAGGTCGTGGGCCCCCGCGGGCCTAATTGACCTAGATGTTGGGCCTCGCTAGCCCAAATAGGACCATTTGATTGGGAGGTGTTTGTGGTTTGGTTGTTTGATTTTAAAATGGTATTTTCTTAGGAGAGTTTTATTAATTGTTTATGAATTATTGTTCTATCGCTTTTACTTTCCAGACATGATATATCTATATTTATTTTTATATATGTGTTAAATGGATTAATAATTGGATTGTGTTGCCTTCGGAAATATGGTAACCCATTTAATAATCTGTTTAACCATGTCACATGTGTGGTAAATAACATCTTAACCCATTTAATAACATGTGTACAAACCAAATTAAATTATTTAAGTACATATCCAACTAGTTTAACTTTGAAGAACCAGTTTAACATCAGTCACAAATTAATCCAAGTTCTAAAACATTATCACAACATAAAATACAAAAATTAGTCTACCATAGTTCTAAAACATCATTACAACAACACAAAGATCAGGTCTCATCATCATCCAATCATAGTATTAGAGTCTGCAGTAGATTGAGGTGGATTTATGTCCATCAACATCAGCACTACCACCCCCATCATAAAAAAGATCCATCTGTATAATAGCAAGAAGTAGAACTTTTAGCAGGTTTATAGGGTGAAAAGTAAAATTTAGAGAGCAACAACGCCATTAAATACAAACAAACCAAAAATTGGAACATGCAATAGTCAAACTCCAAAAAATATTAAAAATAAAAAGTGGTGCAGTAAAGTGGTGCAGTTATTACCAATGGAATTTGTGGACAGTGTCTTCGCTCCTCCTTAAAATTAATGAAATTTTGACACTTGCCAAATTTAAGCAACATTGACAAAGTTTCAACAAAAAAGAAAAAATAATATTTAAAAATTTTAACAATTGTCAAAACCACATTGATTGTAAGGAGGCAAGCATTTTCCAATTTTGTGCTGAAGGGGAGGTTGATAAAATAAAAATTTTAAAAAAGTGATGCAAACTCACATTGAAATGCAGAGAGTTCATATTCATCTTCATCTTCATTTTCTTCATTTTCATCATTTTTGCCATCATCACCATCCTTTGGCATGCTAATATGAGCCAGGTGGGCCCCTAAGCTTTTGAAGAGCAACCCTTTGCCGCCTATGCAGGAAACAGTAATAATTCGAGAAATAGACGGCTTCAATTGATCATCACTCTTTCCATCATCATCACCCTTCGGCTTCGTGTGAGCAGGTAATGGAACATATTGCAGCCAGACATGACGTGCCCCTGTCTCTCCTGACACTGACCACCAATTTCGACCATAGTCTGTGCATACTCCATCGATAAAAAACGACAATCCAAAATCACACGGCCGAACACATGATTCCGTAATTTCCCAAACAGTACACAAAACCAATTTTGTGTTCTCCAATCCGAAAGTCCAAGGAATTTCAATAGGAATTTCAATTTTGTGTTCGTGATTAGAGTTACTATTCAGAAGAAGCACACCTACGTCCGTACAAAAACTGAACGACACCGAAACATCACTGTCTGGAAAACTGAACTGCTCTGGAACTTTACTGCCTGGCAGTGTAACATTAATAACATTATACCTCTTCACTGGCTGTAACACAACAAAACAGAGGCATATATTAATTAGTCATGCGTGCATAGTATAGTATTAACAATACATGTAATGTAATGTAAGCATATTAATTAGGGCTAACATCATTTTACCCCCTCAAGATTTGGGGTCATTCTTGAAATGAGCCATGCGGTTTTAATTTCGTCAATTTACGCCATAATGTTTCAAAATTCGACCAATTTACACTTTCCGTCTCTGTTAAGTGATGACGTGGCAAACGTGGGGTCCACCTTTTTAGCTTAGATGTTATAAAATATGTAAAAAATAATATTAAAAAATTATTTGCTTTTTAAGTTAATTTAAATCAATTATTTACAACAAAAAAAGGAATATTTAAAAACAAATATCAATTCCACCCGCCCCATCCATCTTCCCCAATTAAAACAAAAAACAAAACAACAAATAAAAAAATAAAAACAAAACAAGAACAATCAAACCAAGCCAAGAAATGTTGAAACTGAACAAGGTTATCGATAAGCTTTGTGAATACAAAGTATGATTGCACTAGTAAACTTGGGAGAGAATTCTTATTGAACTGAAACAACCAACTTGGCTATTAAATAGCCTTACATCAAAACAGGAAATAAGATAGCAGCCCACGATTATACAGGTCCTAGAATCGTGGTAAGTGACTAAATCAAAAACAGAAAGATAACCTTGTCCCTCAAGTATAGGAGGGTTATTAACACGTCTAGGAATAACTCCTAGAACAAAGGAATCCTAACAACTAGAATCTTAACAACTTCAACATCCTCCTTAAACTGAATACGATTGATATTTAGTTTATTCCAGGGTATTTGCAGACACCCATTAAATCTCGCAGCTTCAGAAACACTTCAAGCTTCAACGGCTTTATCATGATGTCTGCAATCTGCTCTTGAGTAGAACATTGCAACAGCTCCATTACCTCATCTTTGACGAGGTCTCGAAGAAAATGAAACCGCACGTCTATGTGCTTGCTACGACCATGCATTACCGGATTCTTTGAAAGCTTAATGGTTGAGACATTATCACAATAAACCACTGTCGGACCAGTTTGCCTCAAGTTTAAACTTCTCAAAATTCTTCTTAACCATACTACTTGACATGCACTCGCAGCTGCAGCAATAAACTCTGCTTCAGTAGTGGAGAGAGTAACCACTGGTTGCTTCTTCAAGGACCATGAAACTGCTCCTGAATTCATCATAAAAACATAACTTGAAGTACTTTTTCTATCATCTTGATCACCAGCATAGTCACTGTCCGTGTAACCAATAAGTTCTTCACATCCTCCCTTCTTGTAGAATATCCCAAAACCAACAGTGCCTTTCACATACCTTAGAATCCTTTTAGCTGCCAATAAATGAGACTCAGTAGGATGCTCCATGTACCTACTAATTAGACTTACAACAAACATAAGATCAGGGCGTGTAGCTGTTAAGTACATGAGACTTCCAACCATTTGCTTATAAAGCGTGCTATCTGTTTGTGCTTGATAAATCACGGCCATGAGCTGGCCGAAAGAGCCCTTTCTCTCGGCCCTGGCACTTATTCGCAGAGGCTGAAACGCAGCGTTTCGCCAAGGCATTTCGCCTTCCTTAAAAATAAAAGAAGAAATGCTAAGGCATGATCATCTCGGCCTCAAGCGTAGGCCGAGGCCGAGGCCGAACAAAATTGCGGCCAAGGCATTAAAAGCAAATCATCACGTGGGAAGTGACTGAAGTCAGGATTTGGTGATGAAGATCAGAGTGATTAGACGTGGACATTCTCACAAGAATTCTGACAGCTTGAGATGTTGGTTCACCAGCTATCCAGGCCATAAATGCGTCTCCACGGCCAGAGGTTCAGAACCCACGATCGAGAGCGGCGGCCGAGATTCACCGGGATTTCTGGAGTCTCACCACCATACTTCACGATCCCAAATGTCGATTGGACACCCACTTGCGCTAATTAGACTCCACTATGTGTAATTTCAGCCTCAATTACTCATCCAGGGACTCTTCCTATAAATACAAGACTCGAGCTACATTCAAAAGGTTCAACACCAAAACAAAGCCTCCCACGGAGCAACCACCAACACCATCACTCGACGGCCTTGTAGTTCAGGCCGTGAACCTAACAGCCGAGAACAGTTCCTCTCTCGGCTACAATCGTTTGACTAGGAAGACAGATCAAACAGGCGCACCATTCATCCATCCAACACTCATCGAAACATCAACGCAAGGTAAACCGTGCTGGCACGCCCGCGCGCAACCGCACCGCACCCAAAAGCAGGAAACCCCGTGTTAACGCACATCCCCTCGGCCCGGAACTCCAAGCCGTGAAATTTGCGCGGCAGACACTATCAACCCCCACTCCTCCTTCATCACGAGTAAGCTTAAATCCGGGAACCACAGGGTTATACACTGAGTTGCATTGATTCATGTTAAACCTGTCCAAAACTTCCTGTGCATACTTCCGTTGACTAATAAATATGCCATCCGTTGTCTGCACCACTTCAATGCCAAGGAAGTACCTCATTGTTCCGAGATCAGTCATATCAAACTCAACCATCATGGACCTTTTGAATTGCTCGAATAACAATCCATCATTCCCAGTGAAAATAAGGTCATCAACATAGAGACATACAATCAAAATTTTACCTTCATTGGCTGTCTTGATGAACAATGTATGTTCGTGGGGACATTTTGAAAAACCCTCCTTGATGAAATACGCCTCTATTCGACTGTACCATGCCCGTGGAGCTTGCTTGAGTCCGTATAATGCCTTTTTGAGACGATATACCTTGGATTCGCTCCCCTTCTGTTCATAACCAAGTGTCTGTGCAACAAAAACTTCCTCATTAATCTCTCCATGCAGAAAAGCTGATTTGACGTCGAGTTGGTAAATCCTCCAATTCCGTTGTGCAGCAAGGGAAATAACCACTCGAATTGTATCCAATCGAGCCACTGGTGCAAACACTTCAGAAAAATTCACTCCATATTTTTTACTATATCCTTTGGCAACAAGTCGAGCTTTGTACTTGTCCACCTCCCCATTTTCATTCAATTTTGTCTTGAAAACCCACTTTACTCCAATAGTCTTTCCCCCTGATGGCAGATCAGTCAATTCCCACGTATCATTCTTCGCTATGGCTTCTATTTCTCGATCCATTGCTTGTTTCCACTTCTCACTCTTCACGGTAGCTTCATAAGTAGTGGGATCACGATTAGTAAACAAGGCTAGATGAGCCAAGTTCACATGTTCTTCATCAGAGAGACCTTCACCGGTGTCATAATCTCTCATCCAAAGTGGTGGCCTTCGAGTTCGTCCCGCTGGAGTTAAACTGCCAGCATCCACTATATCTCCTGCTTCTAAAGAATCACTACCATCAGACTCATTGTGGTCCATATCTTCATTAGCTCCAGATCTGTCTTCATCTCCTTCATCTTCTGTAACTGTTTCTTCATCAGTTTCCCATTCAAGATCAGCTAAAATAATTTGCTCATGACTGTCATCCCAATTCCATTGTTGATCTTCCTCAAAAACCACATCTCGGCTTACAATAATTTTCTGTGAAATAGGATCAAACAATCTATAAGCTTTGGACTCTTCACTTACCCCTAACAGTATGCATTTGAGGCTTTTATCATCAAGTTTGACTCTTTTGCTATCAGGTACATGTACATGAGATAGGCAGCCAAAAACTCTAAAGTGATCCACCGATGGTTTGCACCCACTCCAAGCTTCTTCAGGTGTCTTGTTTTTCACAGCATGGGTTGGACTTCGATTCAATACATGTACTGACCAGTTCACTGCTTCTGGCCAGAAAGTCTTTGGAATTTGCTTCTGTGACAGCATGCACCGTACCATATTCATGATAGTCCGATTCTTCCGTTCAGCAACGCCGTTTTGTTGAGGAGTGTAGGCAGCCGTCAACTGTCTGTGAATGCCATTCGTATTGCAAAAATTTGTGAATTCATGTGATGTGAACTCACCTCCTCGATCTGTCCTCAAACCTCTTATAAATGCTCATATTTCCTTCTCCACTCTAGCTTTATACGTTTTGAACAAAACAAAGGCTTCTGATTTTTCCACCAGAAAATAAACCCAAGTTCTTCTACTGTAATCATCAGTAAAAGTGATGAGATATCGCTTCTTGCTATTTGAGATTGGACTTATTGGGCCACATATGTCAGCATGTATCAACTATAGCATCTTAGAAGCCCTCCACACACTCTCCTTTGGAAAAGAATCACGATGCTGCTTTCCCACAAGACAGTCTTCACATACTTTATGAGAATCTTTGATCTGTGGCAGCCCTTCAACCATATTCTTTTGTTGTAGTACTTTCAGTCCATTCCAACTTAAATGCCCATATCGACAATGCCAATGATGTGCTTGATCTGTGGTTGTCATGGAGAGACAGTTTTGTTCCTTCAATGAGCAGTGAGCAACCAACACAAACATCCTATTGTATGTCATCTCAGTTTCAAGAATTAGACCTTTCTCATAATGAAAAATCTTACACTGTCCATGTTGTATGAGCAACCCGAGTCCCTTCTCTTGCAATTGACCAATACTCAATAAATTATTCTTCAATTCTGGGACAAAAAAGACTCCTGTACTCACAAGCACAATCCCATGTACCTCCATTCGCACCGTGCCTTTGCCTTGTACACTGAGACTGGAATTATTTCCCAGCTTCACTGACTTTCGGAAGTTGTCATCCATCTCGATAAATGCTTCCCTTCTGCCACACATATGATTGCTGCATCCAGAATCAAGAAACCAAATATACTCCATCCCAGCTTCCTTAACATCCACCTGCGCCATGAGCAACATTTTTTCCTTTGTTTCTGCAAAGTTAGCCTTAGAATCACTAGCTTTCTTAGGGCATTCCCACTGAAAATGCCCTAGCTCATGACAGTTGTAGCATTCTAGAGTAGATTTGTCGAACCCAAATCTACCCCTTCCTCTTCCTCTTCCACGATGAGAGCCACGACCACCACCTCTTCCTCCTTGTTGAACTCCAGAAGTTACTTGAAGAGCTTGTTCATCCACAACATGCCGACTTATTCGTTGTTCATGTACAAGAAGACTGCTCTGAAGCTCATCAATGGATAAAGCATCCAAATCATGCGACTCCTCAATTGAGCAGACAACATAATCATATTTTGAAGTCATAGACCTCAAAATTTTCTCAATGATTACCACATCTTCCATTTTTTCTCCATGAAGCCTCATCTTGTTGGCTATAATGAGCGTCCTGCCAAAATAGTCGTTGACAGTTTCCCCAGTCTTCATATGCAATACTTCAAACTCCTTTCGAAGTGCTTGCAATTGAGCACGCTTCACACGTGCTGTTCCTTGGTACTTCTGCTTCAAGGAATCCCATATATCCTTTGCAGTGTCCTTCTTCAAAATCGTTTCCAGGATCGAACGATCAATGGCTTGAAACAGATAGTTCTTGGCCTTCAAGTCTTTTAGCTTCTGCTCCTCCAGTGCCTTCTTCTGCGAATCACTAGAATCAGCTCCTTCTGCTACGGCTGCTACGGCAGCGATCCCTGTCTCCACCAAGTGCCAATATTCCTTGGAACGTAAAAAATTCTCCATAAGCATACTCCAGTGATCATAGTGCCCATCTAATCTTGGAATGGCAGGTTGTACAAAACTATTCTCAGACGTCATGTTCTTGTTCTCTCACACTGGTAATTGTGTCTGCAGGTTTTGAGTCAGGCCCCGTGATGGAGCTCTGATACCAAATGTTGAAACTGAACAAGGTTATCGATAAGCTTTGTGAATACAAAGTATGATTGCACTAGTAAACTTGGGAGAGAATTCTTATTGAACTGAAACAACCAACTTGGCTATTAAATAGCCTTACATCAAAACAGGAAATAAGATAGCAGCCCACGATTATACAGGTCCTAGAATCGTGGTAAGTGACTAAATCAAAAACAGAAAGATAACCTTGTCCCTCAAGTATAGGAGGGTTATTAACACGTCTAGGAATAACTCCTAGAACAAAGGAATCCTAACAACTAGAATCTTAACAACTTCAACAAGAAAACCCCAAGGAAGGATATTAAGCCTTGCCCTCCACCTGTTCAAAGTGCGGAGATTTTGGCAGTTGGTGATGTTGTTGAGGTGTTGAAGGTTTTGGATGAAAATTATTACTTTGACTAGGCTACTTGGATCTTTTGAGGAGTTTAGAGAGCACAAACATAGGATCTGAGTGCGCCAATTTTGGAAAGATGACAAATGGGTTGTGATTGGAAATGTAAACTTCTATCTGGTTCATCTTGATTTTCTGTATTTTACCAAGCCCAGAAAACCCCACCCCCACCCATCTTCCCCAATCCCGATCTCATCTTCCCCAACCCCCATCCCCACCTTCCCATACCTAGACTACTCCTCAACCTAACTGGCCTAGCTGCTGGGCCCCAACACCGCGGAGGCAGCCACCTTCATATGCTCCCAATTCGTCGTCGTCTACTCCATGATCTCTGACATCGCCTATGCCGTCGACTCTTATTCTCAATGTAGCTCCGCTTCGCCATGCTCTGCGTCGGCTTCGTCCGCGATGTTTTCAAATCTGGGGGCAGGGATGTTTTCAGATCTGGGGTGCGATGGGTTGCGGAACGGGAAAAGTGGGTTGTTTGCAGGCAGTGATTGTGAGGTGGTCTGGGTGGTTTGTAGTCAATGGTTGTGAGGTGGTCCGGGTTGTTTGCAGGCGGCGGTTGTGAGGTGATCTGGGTTGAAAGAGGAGAGGGTTTGGTGGTGGGGTTGGTGACGACCTGGGGGGTTTGGAATGTTGATTTTTTTTCTTTTTTTGTTTTAAATAATTTATTTTAATATTTTTAATTAACTTAAAAAGTAAAGGATTTTTTAATATTATTTTTTACATATTTTATTACATCTAAGCTAAAAAGGTGGACCCCACATTTGCCACATCATCACTTAACAGAAGACCAAACGGTCAAATTGACAGAAAGTGTAAATTGGTCGAATTTTGAAACATTAGGGCGTAAATTGACAAAATTAAAACCGCATGGCCCATTTCAAGAAAGACCCCAAATCTTGATGGGGGTAAGATGATGTTAGCCCTATTAATTATATAGAAATAATTAAGAGAAAACATATATACGTCACCTGATTCAGTAAAATATTTGCCATCTTTGCAGCGTCCAACCCTAGATTATTGCACAGCCTATGGCAACACAAGTCCATGCGACTAATGCCTTGCATGTCTCCGTCTTCTAATATCTTTGACAATGTTGAAAATCTTTCTAGTGATACGCAATCACTCACGTCCACAAATTTTATAGACGGTGGAGGTTGTACTTCAATTTCTACAAGCCTCTTGCAACCACGCAAATAAAGTCCCTCCAAGTTGACAAATATCTTTGACAATGTTGAAAATCTTTCCAGTGATACGCAATCACTCACGTCCATAAATTTTATAGACGGTGGCAGTTGTACTTCAATTTCCACAAGCCTCTTGCAACCACGCAAATAAAGTCGCACCAAGTTGACAAATTTGCAAATCCACACAGGAAGACTAACCAAATTGCTGTTGGACAGATCAATTATCCATACTTTGGACGACCAACCAAAATTCTCCAAGGAATCAATGTCTGATACATTGCACTCTTGAAATTGAATCCTGCATCGCCTGTGAACTGCTAATGAGCTAAAGTTGTCACGTGGAATGTTTGAGTTAGTTAAAACCTCCAAAGGAAGTGATTCTTCAGAGATCAAGTTATTTGGAAGTGTGACTAGTTTTGGGCATCGATTGAGATTAAGAGTGTGGAGATTCTGAAACCCATAAATACTTGGTGGCAGATTTGTAAGGTTTTCACATTCAGCTAAGTCTAAATATTCAAGCGCAGTGAGATGTCCAACTGATGAAGGCAACTCTTTTATAGCTGTTCCACTCAAATCCAATTCTTCAAGTTTATGAAGATATCCAATTGATGAAGGCAACTCTTTTATAGCTGTTCCACTCAAATACAATTGTTCAAGTTTCTGAAGATATCCAATTGATGAAGGCAACTCTTTTATAGCTGTTCCACTCAAATACAATTTTTCAAGTTTATGAAGATATCCAATTGATGAAAGCAACTCTTTTATAGCTGTTCCACTCAAATCCAATTTTTCAAGTTTATGAAGATATCCAATTGATGAAGGCAACTCTTTTATAGCTGTTCCACTCAAATCCAAAATTTCAAGTTTATGAAGATAACCAACTGATGCATCAACCTTAACTAAACTTCTACAACCATATGCATCCAAGGACCTTAGGTTTGGGCTGCCGGATAAGTCGGGAATTTCAGTTAGGAATTCAGAGCCCGTCAAATTCAAAAATGTCAACATTGTGAAATGCTGTGAAACCAAAGAAGAATTGTATATAAAAAATAAAAATAAAAACAAATCATAAAAGTGACCTCTTAAAATAATAAGGGATGAAAAATAATGTAAAGTACCTGCAATCTCTTCCTTATTTGTTTGATGCGGCTGTAAGGCAGATTGAGCACAACTAGTGCCTTTGGACAAAATTTGGCTGGAAAAGATTGGAATGGACATCTATACCAATCAAGCACTCTCAAATTGCTTGGGATAGAACTAGCGTATCCAGAAAGGCATACATTATAGTTTATGAAAATTTTAAGATTTTTCATCTTCGAGAAGCTTCTGCCAACATCCAAGAATACCTCCTCATCTTGTTTGGGGAAATCTAACATGATGCCTGTGATTTTATTTGTTCCCTAATAGAAAAAAGAAAAATGTACTGAGTGTTACAAAGTATTATAATAATAAAAAATATATTATACTTAACACACAACGTGTGTTAGTTATTGAATTTAATAAAACTTTACACTCACATATATAATTTAATTTACTTACTGTATTTTTAGTCAGAACATGCTCAACATCTTCATGAAACCACAATCTGCTACGTCCTCCAGGTTCAGTGGGCGACTCCTGCTCAATTATGTCCTTACCCATCTTTTCTAGTAAGTCATGCATATGAATATAATCTCCATGTTCAACACTTATGAGGGACTTTTCTATGAGTACTTCAATGCCATATCTAGCGTTTAGCTCACAAACTTCTGTCACATAGTTTCTACTTTTACCCTTAAAGAAACATGCGATGTCAAGGAAAACCTTCTTTACTCTATCATCCAAGGCATTGTAACTTATTTTGAGAACTTCTTGAATTTCCGTGCCTTGGAAACCATCCAATGCAGCTTGCCATTTATGTTTACTTCCACCATATAGATGAGAACCTAGAACTTTCAAAGCCAAAGGAAGGCCTTGAGCATAGCGCATTGCACGTTCTGCAAGTTTCACATAATCACCCAAAGGAGGCTCACTTCTTTTGAAGGCATACCAACTCAAGAGCTCAAGAGCTGCAGGATCACGTAAAATCTTGACCTCATGTATTAAATTAACATCATGAGCAGTTAACAGTTGCTTATCCCTTGTTGTTATGATAATTCTACTGCCTGCACCAAACCATTCACATGCCCCAGCTAAGTTTCGTAACTGGTCCATGTCATTCAAATCATCAAGAACCAAGAGAACCTTTCTACAACTCAACCTTTCCTGTATCACAATGGCTCCTTTATCAACATTAGTCACCTTCAAATTTTTTACCTTTAGAATGTCAGAAAGAAGATTCTCTTGTAATCCGACTGAACCTTCATGCGACGTTGACCTTTCTCTAACGTTTGCCAAAAAGGAACAACCTTCAAATTTGTGGGCAATTGAATTATAAACAGCTTTAGCAATTGTGGTCTTACCTATTCCACCAGTTCCCCATACCCCTACCATACGAACATCGTTTTCCCCCAAATCTAAAAGCTCATTCATAACTTGTACTTGAGCTTGCATTCCAACTGGATGCTCTGCCACTTTCATACACTCATGCTTTAATAATTGTTCTGAAATCTTTTCAATGATATTTTGGATAAATTTAGATTCAGATTCATGCCTGCCAATTGAAAAGAATATGAAACATTTAGTGACTTGACATGGCATTTCTATATATAAACTATAAAATAATATAGTTTAACTCTTATAAAACTGATTCCAATTAGAATAGCTTGTCAAGAATTGGAATCAAAACACCATTTAGAATAGCTTCTATTTTTCAACTACTTAGTAGTATAATTTTTGAAAAGGAGAAAATTACTTTATTAATAATAATTATAACCTTAATGTTTTGGATAAAATATTTTTCACACTATTAATTAATTATTGACATCAAAAAATTATTTTCATTGATTTCTTTTAACAAAAAAATTGTAATTACTTTTTTGTTTTTGGATCAACAAAACAAAATAAAAAGCATTATATAAGAGGGTTAGAAATTTACTCGTCCAAAGGGAACCCTGACAAAGCTGCTGCTTGTGAAAGTGCTGCCCTCCATTTCTTGACCTTGTCCTTTTTATCTTTGTATTTGCGCTCCATGTTAGCCAGTGCATCCCCAAAGCTACCTCTCTGATTTCGTACATCTGATGGATTCACCTTATAAAAAACTGGCAGGACCAGTTGTTGATTTGATTCTTTGCAGTCAAGAATCTTAACAAGTTCATCCAAACAACACTTTGAAGAGGCATAATTTTTAGAGAACACAACGACAGAAATCTTTGATTCTTCAATTGCTGTGAGAAGCGCGCTTGATATTTCTTCTCCTCTTCTGAGCTCATCATCATCCCTGAAGGTGTTAATGCCTTGTTGACATAAAGCGCTATACAAATGGTCTGTGAAGTTGTGGCGCGTGTCTTCCCCTCTGAAGCTCAGAAAGACCTGGTTTTTCCATGAATTGGTGAAGGAAGCCGAGGAAGAAGAGGCTCGTTGGTTGGCCATGGAAGCCAACATAATTGTTTCAGTGTTTGACTGTCGTCAGAAAACAGATGAGTCTTACTTGAAGAGTTTGGGTGTGAGCAAATGTAAAAGGCTTTATCTTTGCTTTGAATCCAAAGCGGATTCATGAAATGGTAGGAAGTGTCGCTGAAACTTCCCAGTCTTCAATTATTGGGGCTTTTCACGTCATGAGGAGCCCACAACAGGGGGAAAAAACTTTCAACTTTCCTGACACGATCTGTCAATAGGGATGGCATAAATTTCCGGGTTTCAACTTTCCCTAATACGAGTTGTCAATGGGGATGGCATAAATTGGCCGGGTCCCAAATTTTAAAAAATTTCGATTAGGACGAGCCGGGGATAATATTGTTATTCCATCTCCGAACCTAACCTGATAAGCTATATATTTATTTTTAAGTAGTAAATAATATAATATAACAATGTATAATTATATAATATAATTTGTATATGTGGTGCAGTTGCGCTCAGAAGTAGAGGTGTCAAACGGGCCGTGCCGGGCTAGCTCGTCCCATTTAAATTCGTGCTTTTAACATTTTCGTGCCGTGCCGGGCCGGCCCATTTAATTTATCGGGCCGTGCCGTGCCGGCCCATTTAATAAAATCATTGATCCCGGCCCGGCCCAAAGCCCATGTCCATATTTAAACGGGCCGGGCCGGGCTCGTGCCGTGCCCGTGCTCGTGCTCGTGCCATACTCGGGCCCAAGAACTAACCCATTTAATTTGAATTTTTTTCGCTTGATTTTTTTTTCCACTAGATAATTCAAATTATAAACATTAAAAATATAATTAGACGCAAGAAATTATAAACTATTTGAAAACATTAATCAATCAAACATCCAAACAATATGAAGGGCGGAGGGCAAAAAATGTCCAACTCCACAAAGTCCACTTGAACTTTTCATCTTTAAACAACTTATTATGTTATATGTGAAGAAATGTTTTGCTTTGATTATAAGATAAGCGTATATGTCATATGTATTGATTAGATATCAAGTCCAATGTTGTTTTATTAATTTGTAGTTGATATGTTTAATTAACTAAGGACCCAAGTAATTTCCCTAAAATGAAAGACATCAAATATATGGTTATGATTTTTTTTTTTTTTTAAAACATATAAACAATGACATTATATGTCAAATTATTGCATTTTGACTTTTTGAGAAGAAAAAAAATGCTAAATGGGCCGTGCTTGGGCTCGTGCCGTGCTTGAAGCGGGCTCGGGCCAAGCCCGGTCCATGTCGGGCCATGGGCCGGCCCGATCCATTGAACCTATTTTTTGATCCCGGCCCGGCCCGGCCCAAGTTTTCGTGCCGTGCCGAGCACGGCCCATTAGTATTTGTGCTCGTGCCGTGCCGTGCCTCATTTAAACGGGCTGGGCTCGTGCCGTGCTGGGCCGGCCCATCCCGTTTGACACCTCTACTCAGAAGGGTCTTCGTGGGTGGAATTATCAACTCATTGAAATCTCAAGAACTCACTCTGTCATTTCATTGAACATCTGGAGTACATCTATGCAAGTGTCAAGTTATACCCACAACTGGTCTCAATGACTAGCGACAAAAAGTTTGAGTTAGAAAAAGGGGTATTTATGTCGCGCAATACGTGTCGTAAATGGGAATTTACAGCGCACACTCACGTGCCATGAAAGGCCGAGCCGTAAAAAGTCTATTTCATTTACAGCATGCATCATGCGTCGTAAATGAACTTAAAAATACTTTTCACGGCCGGCAATGCACGCCATAAAAGAATAACTTATTCTCATTTAAGGCGTTAGTGCACGCCATAAAAGAGTAACTTGTTCTTATTTAAGGCCTTTAATGCACGCCATGTTTGAACTTAATTTTTTTTAAAAGATAATAATTAATTTATTGTCTATTTCTGTTGTAAATCAGCGAATTTCATTATTGATCCAATTCCATATAACAATACATTTCTTCATTACAAGCCCTTGCATTTGAGTTCAACAAAGAAATACAATATAGCAAGCAAAAACAATGTAATATAAGGAAATTACCCTTAATTAATCAATCAATTCCAAACAAATTCTCAAGTTAGATCACAAACGGAATACATAATAGTGCTGCCAAATGTACCCATAACTTGTTCACAACCTCCAAGCCATTCATTCATGAAGATAACAACTAAAATAAATCTCTAAATACATCAAACAACATGTAAACTTCGCAAAAATACCCTATTGGCAAGCTAAAAAAACCAAACTCACACAAATCCTGGTACACCACTCCTGTAATTGATGCTCCAATATGGATTGACACTGCCATGGGCCACCAAGATAGGACTTGTAAAGGAACTGAAAAGCCATTCCATTTGTAATTTAAACATTTGCGACATATTGAAGGCGACGCTATAATCATATTTGTGACAGGAGCTCGCGTCATAAATACTGTTGCAAATGCCAAATTATTTACGACGCAACATAAAATTAGCAATTCCGTCGATTTTCCTCCTTGTTACGATGGATTTTAGCTGTCACTTAAAGCCTCTTTTTTTTTGGTAGTGTTCTTGTTGTTTAGGTATCTGGTCTTTCTATGTTCTTTATATTTCGGGACCCGTGTAATCCATTTACTAAACATGTAGGATCCTAAATAGGTAACCCATTTAATAATCTGTTTAACCATGTCACATGTGTGGTAAATAACATCTTAACCCATTTAATAACATGTGTACAAACCAAATTAAATTATTTAAGTACATATCCAACTAGTTTAACTTTGAAGAACCAGTTTAACATCAGTCACAAATTAATCCAAGTTCTAAAACATTATCACAACATAAAATACAAAAATTAGTCTACCATAGTTCTAAAACATCATTACAACAACACAAAGATCAGGTCTCATCATCATCCAATCATAGTATTAGAGTCTGCAGTAGATTGAGGTGGATTTATGTCCATCAACATCAGCACTACCACCCCCATCATAAAAAAGATCCATCTGTATAATAGCAAGAAGCAGAACTTTTAGCAGGTTTATAGGGTGAAAAGAAAAATTTAGAGAGCAACAACGCCATTAAATACAAACAAACCAAAAATTGGAATATGGAATAGTCAAACTTCAAAAAATATTAAAAATAAAAAGTGGTGCAGTTATTACCAATGGAATTTGTGGACAGTGTCTTCGCTCCTCCTTAAACTTGATGGAATTTTGACATTTGCCAAATTTAAGAAACATTGCCAAAGTTTCAACAAAAAAGAAAAAATAATATTTAAAAAATTTAACAAGTGTCAAAACCACATTTATTGTAAGGAGGCAAGCATTTTCCAATTTTGTGCTGAGGGGGAGGCTGATAAAAATTTTTAAAATAAAAAAAGAGTGATGCGAACTCACGTTGAAATGCAGAGAGAGGTCATCTTTTTTATCTTTCTGGGTCGAACTTCATCACCTACATCATTATCAGATTCATATTCATATTCATCTTCATCTTCATTTTCTTCATTTTCATCATTTTTGCCATCATCACCATCCTTTGGAATGCTAATATGAGCCAGGTGGGCCCCAAAACTTTTGAAGAGCAACCCTTTGCCGCCTGTGCAGGAGACAGTAATAATTAGGGAAATAGACGGCTTCAATTGATCATCACTCTTCGGCTTCGTGTGAGCAGGTAATGGAACATATTGCAGCCAGACATGACGTGCCCCTGTCTCTCCTTCTGACACTGACCACAAACTTAGACCATAACCTATGCATACTCCATCGATAAAAAACGACAATTCAACATCACAGGGCCCTTTAAATGATTCCGTAATTTCCCAAACAGTACACAAAACCAATTTTGTGTTCTCCAATCCGAAAGTCCAAGGAATTTCAATTTTGTGTTCGTGAATATAGTTACTATTCAGAAGAAGCACACCTACGTCACTGTCTGGAAAACTGAACCACTCTGGAACTTTACTGCCTGGCAGTGTAACAGTAATAACATTATGCCTCTTCAGTGGCTGTAACACAACAAAACAAAGGCATATATTAATTATCATGCGTGCATAGTATAGTATTAACAATACATGTAATGTATGCATATTAATTATATAGAAATAATTAAGAGAAAAACATATATACGCCACCTGATTCAGTAAAATATTTGCCATCTTTGCAGCGTCCAACCCTAGATTATCGCACAGCCTATGGCAACACAAGTACATGCTACTAATGCCTTGCATGTCTCCGTCTTCTAATATCTTTGACAATGTTGAAAATCTTTCCAGTGATACGCAATCACTCACGTCCACAAATTTTATAGACGGTGGAAGTTGTACTTCAATTTCTACAAGCCTCTTGCAACCATGCAAATAAAGTCCCTCCAAGTTGACAAATTTGCTAATCCACACAGGAAGACTAACAAAATTGCTGTCGGACAGATCAATTATATTTACTTTGGATGACCAACCAAAATTCTCCAAGGAATCAATGTCTGATACATTGCACTCTTTAAATTGAATCCAGCATTGCTTGGGAACTGCTAATGAGCTAAAGGTGTCACGTGGAATGTTTGAGTTAGTTAAAACCTCCAAAGGAAGTGATTCTTCAGAGATCAAGTTATTTGGAAGTGTGACTAGTTTTGGGCATCGATTGAGATTAAGAATGTGGAGATTCTGAAACCCATAAATACTTGGTGGCAGATTTGTAAGGTTTTCACATTCTTCTAAGTTTAAATATTTAAGCGCAGTGAGATGTCCAATTGATGAAGGCAACTCTTTTATAGCAGTTCCACTCAAATACAATAATTCAAGTTTATGAAGATATCCAATTGATGAAGGCAACTCTTTTATAGCTGTTTCCATCAAATACAATTGTTTAAGTTTATGAAGATATCCAATTGATGAAGGCAACTCTTTTATAGCTGTTCCATTCAAATACAATTCTTCAAGTTTATGAAGATATCCAATTGATGAAGGCAACTCTTTTATAGCTGTTCCCCTCAAATACAATTGTTCAAGTTTATGAAGATATCCAACTGATGCATCAACCTTAACTAAACTTCTACAACCACTTGCATTCAAGGACCTTAGGTTTGGGTTGCCGGATAAGTCGGGAATTTCAGTTAGGAATTCAGAGCCCGTTAAATTCAAAAATGTCAACATTGTGAAATGCTGTGAAACCAAAAAAGAATTGTATATAAAAAATAAAAATAAAAACAAATCATAAAAGTGACCTCTTAAAATAATAAGGGATGAAAAATAATGTAAAGTACCTGCAATCTCTTCCCTATTTGTTTGATGCGGCTGTAAGGTAGATTGAGCACAACTAGTGCCTTTGGACGAAAGTTGGCTGGAAAAGATTGGAATGGACATCCATACCACTCAAGCACTCTCAAATTGCTTGGGATAGAACTAGCGTATCCAGAAAGGCATACATTATAGTTTATGAAAATTTTAAGATTTTTCATCTTCGAGAAGCTTCTGCCAACATCCAAGAATATCTCATCATCTTGTTTGGGGAAATCTAACATGATGCCTGTGATTTTATTTGTTCCCTAATAGAAAAAAGAAAAATGTACTAAGTGTTACAAAGTATTATAATAATAAAAAAAATATTATACTTAACACACAACGTGTGTTAGTTATTGAATTTAATAAAACTTTACACTCATATATATAATTTAATTTACTTACTGTATTTTTAGTCAGAACATACTTGACATCTTCATGAAACCACAATCTGCTACGTCCTCCAGGTTCAGTGGGCGACTCCTGCTCAATTATGTCCTTACCCATCTTTTCTAGTAAGTCATGCATCTGAATATAACTTCCTTCAACACTTATGAGGGCCTTTTCTATGAGTACTTCAATGCCATATCTAGCGTTTAGCTCACAAGCTTCTATCACATAGTTTCTACTTTTACCCTTAAAGAAACATGCGATGTCAAGGAAAACCTTCTTTACTCTATCATCCAAGGCATTGTAACTTATTTTGAGAACTTCTTGAATTTCCGTGCCTTGGAAACCATCCAATGCAGCTTGCCATTTATGTTTACTTCCACCATATAGATGAGAACCTAGAACTTTCAAAGCCAAAGGAAGGCCTTGAGCATAGCGCATTGCACGTTCTGCAAGTTTCACATAATCACCCAAAGGAGGCTCACTTCTTTTGAAGGCATACCAACTCAAGAGCTCAAGAGCTTCAGGTTCATTTAAAATCTTGACCGCATGTATTAAATTAACATCATGAGCTTTTAACAGTTGTTTATCCCTTGTTGTTATGATAATTCTACTGCCTGCACCAAACCATTCACATGCCCCAGCTAAGTTTTGTAACTGGTCCATGTCATTCACATCATCAAGAACCAAGAGAACCTTTCTACAACTCAACCTTTCCTGTATCACAACGGCTCCTTTATCAACATTGGTCACCTTCAAATTTTTTACCCTTAGAATGTCAGAAAGAAGATTCTCTTGTAATCCGATTGAACCTTCATGCGACTTTGACCTTTCTCTAAGGTTTGCCAAAAAGGAACAACCTTCAAATTTGTGGGCAATTGAATTATAAACAGCTTTAGCAATTGTGGTCTTACCTACTCCACCAGTTCCCCATACCCCTACCATACGAACATCGTTTTCCCCCAAATCTAAAAGCACATTCATAACTTGTACTTGAGCTTGCATTCCAACTGGATGCTCTGCCACTTTCATACACACATGCTTTAATAATTGTTCTGAAATCTTTTCAATGATATTTTGGATAAATTTAGATTCAGATTCATGCCTGCCAATTGAAAAGAATATGAAACATTTAGTGACTTGACATGGCATTTCTATATATAAACTATAAAATAATATAGTTTAACTCTTATAAAACTGATTCCAATTAGAATAGCTTGTCAAGAATTGGAATCAAAACACCATTTAGAATAGCTTCTATTTTTCAACTACTTAGTAGTATAATTTTTGAAAAGGAGAAAATTACTTTATTAATAATAATTATAACCTTAATGTTTTGGATAAAATATTTTTCACACTATTAATTAATTATTGACATCAAAAAATTATTTTCATTGATTTCTTTTAACAAAAAAATTGTAATTACTTTTTTGTTTTTGGATCAACAAAACAAAATAAAAGGCATTATATAAGAGGGTTAGAAATTTACTCGTCCAAAGGGAACCCTGACAAAGCTGCTGCTTGTGAAAGTGCTGCCCTCCATTTCTTGACCTTGTCCTTTTTATCTTTGTATTTGCGCTCCATGTTAGCCAGTGCATCCCCAAAGCTACCTCTCTGATTTCGTACATCTGATGGATTCACCTTATAAAAAACTGGCAGGACCAGTTGTTGATTTGATTCTTTGCAGTCAAGAATCTTAACAAGTTCATCCAAACAACACTTTGAAGAGGCATAATTTTTAGAGAACACAACGACAGAAATCTTTGATTCTTCAATTGCTGTGAGAAGCGCGCTTGATATTTCTTCTCCTCTTCTGAGCTCATCATCATCCCTGAAGGTGTTAATGCCTTGTTGACATAAAGCGCTATACAAATGGTCTGTGAAGTTGTGGCGCGTGTCTTCCCCTCTGAAGCTCAGAAAGACCTGGTTTTTCCATGAATTGGTGAAGGAAGCCGAGGAAGAAGAGGCTCGTTGGTTGGCCATGGAAGCCAACATAATTGTTTCAGTGTTTGACTGTCGTCAGAAAACAGATGAGTCTTACTTGAAGAGTTTGGGTGTGAGCAAATGTAAAAGGCTTTATCTTTGCTGTGAATCCAAAGCGGATTCACGAAATGTTAGGAAGTGTCGCTTAAACTTCCCAGTCTTCAATTATTGGCGCTTTTCACGTCATGAGGAGCCCACAACAGGGGAAAATAACTTTCAACTTTCCCTGACACGATCTGTTAATAGGGATGGCATAAATTTTCGGGTTTCAACTTTCCCTGATACGACCTGTCAATGGGGATGGCATAAATTCCAGGCAAGCCGGGTCCCAAATTTTAAAAATTTCTGATTAGGACGAGCCGGGGATGATATTGTTAGGCTATCCCCGATGGTTGGGGCTCTAAAAAGGATTTATAGAGCCTTATTTAGAACTCTGATGGAATCTGTGGGGTTCTAAAGGAATATCTCCCACAATGGGATGTTCTATATTCGGGGATCCATTTATGATGTAATTTGATTTATGTGCTATTTTTTATTTTTGTTAACTTATTATGTTTTAATGAATGTTTATGTTATGTTAGTTTTTTTTTTTTGTGAACATTTCAACCCAAAAAAATCAAAATTTGGACAAGATTTTACAAAAAAGTTATTAGAGTTAAGAAAAAAAAAACTAGCCATTTATTTCTATATAAAAAAATGAGGACATTCATTTGAAAAGAAAAAGAGACGGTAGAAAAAGAGGACAGTACAAAAATAAGTTTTTTTTATGTGCTAGCAGGCCCCATGCATGTGGTTTGGTAGGAGAGTATGAGGGCAGTTGCGCATCTTGGATTAAATAATAATTTATGGTGAAAGATAAGTGTTATAATGTAGGATGAATATTTTTTTTAAATAAAAAAAAGAGGATTTGGTGCGTGTTTGGGAGGGGGATTCCCCAAGAATTCTTATATGGGATGAGGGCGGAGATGGGAAGCAGGGACGGGGATGGTATTGCCATCTCTAACTGTCAATGATTGAGTTCTCTTCTCCCTTTCCTTCTGTTATCTCTCGCCTGCAATCTCATATTGTTTTTCCCTTCTTTTTTTTGGTCTCAACTCAGCAATAGTTATCCCACTCTACTACTCCAAATACTATCTCACAAATCTTAGATATTGTAAGAGAAATTGTTTTTTGGTGAAACTATGGAATACATTGGGTTATAAAAACCCAAGATTTTCTTTAACGGGAAAAGCTTGGCTCCTTAAAATTGAGAAGGAGTTCCTCTTTAATTAAAACCAATGTAGTTTTGACACCAGGGTTTTCTTGAGTTCTTTTTAGTCGATGAAGGAATAGGAGGCTAGATAATTTACTCAGTAAAAGTTGTGGCACGATTTGCAGAGTTAGATCCTATTAATGGTTAATATTGACGGCATGATAATGGTAATTTTATTTCCAAGAAAAAAAATAAAGAAAGTTAAAAGAATTTGATACATGCCAAAATTACATTGGTTTTAAGGAGGAACTCCTCCTCAATCTTAAGGAGCCAAGCTTTTCCCTTCTTTAACCCCAAAAACAAAACCAAGCTTTTAAGGAAAAAAAAAACTGTCAAACCATGAAATTCATGTGCCCTCACCTGAAATCATAGTTCTCATCTTTAGATTTCTTAACTCTAATTTCTTGTACATTTTGACGGGTTATTCACTTTTGGGCTAGGTTTTATTTTCGTGGCTTTCTTCCCATTCTCAATTACTTGAAGGCCAGTTCATGAAAAGAATTTGATGGGAAATAACTTCTCATGTTTTTTTCCATATTTGGTTATGCTAAAAAAGTAACCAAGAAATACCACTTTATTTCATTTCCCATGTTTGGTTTCCATAAGAATATAAACAAATTGTTTAATTTTTCAATTATAACTATATTAGATAAAATAAAATAAAATGCATTTAAAGCTATATTGTAATTCTTAATTATTAATGGGGACAAAATGATCATAAAAAAATGTGCATTTATTGGTGCCTTAGTTGCCTGTGGTAAGGGAAAATGAAACCAAGGGGGTCGAGGGCTTCATTTTTCCTTCAATTTTCTCATATGCCAGGTAACCATTTCTTATTCCTGGACTTACCAAACATGGAATTCCCCATTCTCAAGCCCCATTTCCCATGAACGAAGCGCCTCCGAAAATCTACTAGCCACTTAAATTACATAAAGTGTGTATAAACTTTGTAATTCAGAAGAGAGACTTAAAAAGGACAAAACATTCATACTATAGAAAAAAGAAAAATGAGGGTTGCAAGCGAGAGAGAACTAAGGGTCCTGTTGTTAATATTATGTTAACTCGCAATTGTACGGGGCAATTAGTAGTATAGCAAGACAAGTACGAGGTCGTACCCACGAAGACTGAGAAGTTAAAACTAGTTATGTACTTAGATTCCCAAATTCAAGAAAGTAGGAGGTTATGTCTAAAACAGAATTTAAAACAAGAGTGGTTGTGATTGTTGAACAAAAAGAAGCAAAATGAAATTTCAAACAAAAACAAGTAAACAAATGTAACAAAGAGTGGTTTTAAGAGTTGGAAAACAGATTTTGAGACTAGGGCATTCGAATCACCATAACAATTCAATTCTGGGTTATAAAGATTCAAGTAACAAGTCTAATTCAGATTCAAAGATTGATTCTAGCTAAAGTATGATTAGGCCATGGTGTTTGGTCCTAACCTTGTGTTCCTAATTCCCTAATTTGATCATTTGTTGTCTAACCTAAAATTAAGCATTAGGAACCCATTAAGCATAGAAGAACATTTTAAACAACCAAGTATGTATCTAATCCCTGTTGTCGAATGT